CAAAGACAACTCATGCAGCAGAAGTTTCCCACTTCCATTGCAAGGAGGAGCAGCTGACACAGGGTTTCTCTCCTAACCCCTATGTCAAAAGTTTCGAGTATGGGATTTGATGGTCCATTTTCTTTCTGAAATAAGCTGTCCTCTTGCCAGCTAATGTAGATAATACTGTAACTTGTAGTAGAATTGCAGTCGTTCTGGGTTGGGTAATGTATTGAGTTCATTACAGTTGTCCAGCTGATTATAGAGCATTTGGAAACACAGAAAAAAAAACTTAGAAAGCAGCAATTGCAATAGATTAAGGTAGTACTCAAAAAATAAAGTGCTACTTATGCAACACTGTTAATGCAATGCTGAGTTGTGGATTTGTCAGAACTTGCACTGGTAGTCTCATGTGTTTATACTTCTTAAAGGCATTTGGGAATATCTAGTTTTGTTAAATAGTTGCTAATGGCTTAAACTCTGCAGATTTTATAGGAGATGTTTTTTAAATGCTGCTAGATAGACAAAAACTGTCTTTTTGTTAGTAGCAGATGAGACCAAGACCTGAGATCATTTGTCTCTTTAAATGTCAGTAATGGAAAATATGTTTTCAGTGCCTGCTTTGTTGGTTGGAATACTGAAGGACCTGTTTTCTAATTATTCTGACAATGGTAATAGAAAAGCAACAGGTCTCTGTGAATAAATTTGCACTAGAAGAAATGTTAACTCCCAAATGCAGAGATAGACACAGGCACACCTTATGGTGTTTGAAGACTTGGAAAAGCATCTGCCTGCTTTGTGCACTGGCACTGTCTTAATGTGGTTTTCCTTGTCATGCAGGAAGCATTATTTCCACCATGACCAGTTGGACTGGGATGAGCACAGCTCTGCAGGCCGGTATGTCAGGAGGCGCTGTAAGCCTTTAAAGGTAGGAGACACCACTTTTATTGCTCTGTTAGACTTGCAGTTGTGAAACAACTCTCTAAAATACCTCCTGTTCTTTTCTTTCAGGAATTCATGCATTGCCAGGACACAGATCATCAAAGTCTGTTTGACCTTGTTCGCAGGATGCTGGAATATGACCCAGCCAAAAGAATTACTCTTGATGAAGCCTTGCAGCATCCTTTCTTTGAAACATTAAATAAATAAATTCAGAGATCTTTTATGCTTCTTCCAGGAGATTTCCTAGACTGTGTCAGTCAGTCAGCAGAGGTTGCATGAAACTTTTGTAAGCTTTAAATTATTTTGTACAGTTAAGTCTGTAAATAATTACATATGTTTTGTATAACTGTTATGTTTACCTTGTTGAGCAGTTGTAGTCTTATCGGTATCAAAGTGAAAAATAAAAAAGTAATTTTCATTTTTGAAATCTGTTTTCTGTCTGAACCTGTGCCACTCTCCTTTTGCAGATGAGGCTGGTTGACCCCCTGCCTGTAGGTGAGGAGTCTGAGCGGGCTGAAGAAGATCTAGAAACATTCAAAAAAAAAAAGCTTTGTTTCATTAGTCTTAAGAAAAGATTTGAAGGACTAGGGCCACCTAGTTACAATGTGTAACAGTTTTTGCCATTCTGAAACGTGGTTGGAAGTGGTGTATTATCCTAAGTAGGTATTTTTTGCGAGTCACCTTTTCCCAGGTTTTCTGTTAATCAGCTGGCTAGTTAGTCCTTGGAAACTTGTCTGATGCTTTCAGTGCTAAATATTTATAGATAATCTTTTTAGTTTGAAAAGTAGCATTTCCTATTTTAAATATTGTTCTGGGTCATTAAAGATGAAGATTTTTGTGATAAGGTTTTTAGGAGGACTGTACTGCTGCAGAGGAATTCAGTGTGCCACGGAATTGTGGCATATTTAAAGCCCTTGCCATAGTAAGGAGATCGTTCTGAAGTCTTCAAATGCATATTTCTGTGGAGCTTGATTTCTAATTGCTTGATGAATGAAGTAACCTTGGCAACTGAGAAACACAGGCATCAGGATTATACAATAAAAAGGCCGGGTTCTTAGTTGTGACTCCTGAACTCAGGTGCTGAGTTGAGAAGGAAATGGTACAAGTTTCCAAGACCCATTAATGTACTTTGGTAGTTTTTGTTCTTCCATGTCTAAGTTGATGTTTTCTTGGTCTTACTCCAACTCTCTTAATCCATTTGACACAGTATGGTTGGCTTGCTGAGCAGTAGGAGGGGAACCTTCCATGGGAGTGTTCAGACTGTCTGTCAGGGTAGCTGCAATAAGCAAATTTTGGCTCTTTATTTCAGTCCTGACTTTTCCTTCCTTTGAAGAAAGGTTTGTGTGGTAACAGTAAATTGTTCCAGCTCCACAGGAGCCTGACTTCAGGTTTTGTGCTTGCCCTAATGCACAGTAAGATTTTAAACTGATGTCCTTGTTTCACTGATGTGAATGAGTTTTCATTTGCAAGAGGCTCCAGACGTGCATATCTCAGAATCGTGGGGGTAGAATAGAGCTGAGACAGGCTTTGAAAGCTTATCTTCTGTAACCAGTGCCACCTCCTGGGCTTGATTACAGCCCATCGTAGCCACCCCCTTTCCTTGGATGTTGGTGTTGGTGACATTGTTTCTGCTCTGCATGACAGAAGATGGAACAGTTGGTGCCGTCCAGGTCAGCGCCATGGGGCTGAGCAGGACCAGAGTAAATTCCTTCCCTTCTTCCCACACTACTTCCCATTCCACAGCTTCAGGGGCAAAGCAAGGACTTGACTGAGTGTATCAGCCAAGCACTGCAAATCAAAGGCAGATGGGGGGGAGAAAAGTTTATATGCTGCTATAACAATAAAACTAACCATAAAACAGTTCTATCAAAATGAGGCAAAGACACTGTACTCCTGCTTACAGAGTACTTGATGTAGGTACTGAAATGCCTTGCATCAAGGAGATACAGGCTAGAAAAACATACAAAGCCCTGTTTAAAGTGACTTTCTTCCAGTAAACTTTTAAAAAACCACTATCACAATTAATGTGGCGTCTGCAGTGAGGTGCCAAGTGGCTTTGCAGGCCTTGCAGTGTGTACAGGAGTGTTAATTTGCAGGGACACGTGTCCAGGGCCCTTGGACTCCCCAGTGAAGCTCAGTGGGGTTCTTGGCAGCTGAGCAGCACCCAGGGCCAGGGCTCTGGTGTCTCCTGGGCTGCCCTTGGTCCTGTGTCTTCAGTAGGAGACATTATGTGCACACCCTCATTGTCATCTTTATACCTGAGTGTAATTTGGGCAGTTTGTAATCTTTACACGTTTGGATCAAGCTATGGCTGTTGGTTAAATAGTTACAAGAGCATTCACGTCTGTTTCTGCACATCCGATTTTTAGCTGTTGTACCTTAAAAATCTGGTCTGTGACTGGGTCAGCCAGGCAGACCAACAGAGTGTGTTTCCATAATGGATCAGTCTCACCTTTCACTAGACATGGATGATGGGACAGAATAAAGCTGTCTTCCAAGAGAAGGACATAAGGACACTGCTGAAGGGCAAAGAGTGTATGGAGAGCCAGAGGTTCAGAACCTCATCCGAGTGGGGGAAGAGTTGAGCTGGGAGATAAACAGCAAAGAAAAGGGGTTTGGAGTTCTGGGGCAGGGGCTCAGCTGCTGCAGGAGTGATCAGTCCTGCCTCTTGCTTCAGTTTCTGGGGATCAGAGCTGTCAGGGGGGCTTGGGTCACATGGGCACATTTTAGGATGAGATGCTTGTCCCTCAGTGTGATGGTGCTGTGAGTCTGCAATTGATTTCATGGAGCTTGCAAGGATGGTTTTGGCAGGCTCAGAGGAAGGAGAGGGGGAGAAGGAGGTAAGGAAGAGGCTCTTTGTGTCTTCAGACCCTGAAAGAGAGCAGGAAATAGTTGTTAGCAAATGATACAGATTTGCCTGGCTAACTGCTTTGGAAATAGCTACGAAATCATGTCTATATGCAGCACTGCCGTCTAGCTGTGCACATGTGTGTGTTTTATTGACAAACTTAATTGGAATCTGACATTGGTATCATCACTGACATAACAGCATTTCCTAACTGTCCTATGTTTCACTCATCTATTCTAGAAGTAAGAATTACTCCTACTAGGGCAGTGTCTGTGGTCAGCGGGCAAAGAGTACATTTGGACTTGCTATGTGCTTAGAGTCTAGACAGGCAGTAAGGTATGAAATTACCAGGGGTTGTTTTACGGGTAAGTTAAGAGTTGTAAAGCACTGTAACAGCTAGGGAAAGGCACGGCAGAGTGTGGGGATACTTAGTGTTATATATGAGCACAGTTTCTCTCATTCATGGGCTCCCTAAAATGTATGGGGCACTTCAGCGCGGTAACATCGTGAGTTACAATGCGCCGTGGGGTTCCCGGTAAGGTCTCTTCCCTAAAACAGACCGCGGTCCAGACGGGCTGTAGCGCAGAAGGCACAAACCTCCTGGCCAGATGACGCCTCTCGCAGGTCCCGCTCTCCGGGAGCGCTGCCGCTCCCCGGCTCCGTGTCCCCGCGGCCGGGCACATCCTTCGCGCTCCCTCCTTCCCTCGCTCCCGGCGGGGGGACCCCGCTGGAGGGCGCCCGGCCCGCGGGCTGCGCTGCGGCCCCGCTGCCGCACCGGGACCGGCGCGGGGACCGGAGCGGGGCCGCCCCGCGACCACCCCGTGCCCCGCAGCGGCTCTGGCCGTGCCCCGGCCGCGGGGCTCCACCGGGATCTCGGGGGGGGCGGGGGGGGGCGGGCGGGCGGGATGGGGTGTGCGGGGAGGGGGAGCGGTCCCCGCGGGGGGCCGGGCAGCGAGGGTGGGATCTACTCCGCGTAATCCCCCATGGGGGGCGGCGGGCCGCGCTCGGAGCATCCCCCCTTCCCCAGCGCGGGGGGAGGCGGCGGGGGGGGAGCCGTCACCCCCCGCTTCCTCCGTTTAAGACCCGGGCCGGCGGGGCGAGCGGAGGAGAGCGGCCGCTCCGCAGCTCCGGCCCCACGCCCGCGGCGCACGGGGCGGCGCTGGATGCGCGGGCGGCGGGGGGCGGGCGGCAGCCGAGCGGGACCCCGCGCAGCGGCGCGGAGCGCGGCGCGATGAGCGCGGGCAGCGGCAGCGGGGCCGCGGCCGCGGCGGGCACCGCCACCTCCGCGCTGTGCCTGCTGCTCTCGCTCACCGCCGTGGCCGTGTGCCTGCTGCTGGGCGCCAAGACGGCCGAGCTGCAGGGCCGGCTGGCCGCGCTGGAGGAGCGGGGCGCCGCCGCCCACGGGCCGCTGCTGGATGCGCTGCAGCCCCGCGTGGAGCAGCTTTTCCACGAGGTGAGTGGCGGGCAGGGCGGGCAGCGCCCGCAGGACCGGGAAGGCGCTCCCGGCTCCGCTCCGGCGTGGGGAGCGCGGGGCTCGCTCCGAGTGTCACCGGCTTCTCCTCCCTTTTGCCAAACTTTCCCCTTCTTGCTGCCATTTCCGTGAATCAGGCGTGGCAGTGCCCGTCTGGTTTACAAGGCAGAATGCCCCAGGTGAAGGGCGGGCAGTTCAGGGTTTGAGGACATGCGACTTTCCCCTCTCATTCTATTCACTGGCACAGGTAACCCGAGTACTTAAATACTATTTATCTTGGGATGTAATGGACCATAATTTCCTTGTTAGAAATTTATGAACATGATCCCTGTTATCTGGACTGTCTCTCCCAGCGTATTGTGGTCTGGCAGTGCAGAACTGATTTACGGCGGGCAGAGGAGACCCGCCACTAGTTACTTAACTTTCAGTCCCAGGGTTTTCTGAAATTATTCAATAAATATTTCTGTGCTGAAAGATTTCCCCTACTTGGAGAACTATTATGCACACTGATACTCTTCTCTGTAACTAAACCAAATCTCTAGAAGAAGTTTTAGTTGATTCCAGGATCATCTTTTTCCTGACTCTGGTGTTTAGGTTTGGGGCTTTTTGCAGGCATGGGGGGATAGGGACGGCTCCATCACTCATAGTAAATGCTTGAAGATCCCACAGTTGATTTGCTGGATTTGTTTAAACAGTAGTTCCTAAAGTTCAACAAGATTCAACACGGCTTACGGGGCTACCCAAGGACACCCCAAGTGATCGATTCTGACATCTGGGGAAGGTTTTACACTGGGATTTCATTAATGGCATGACTGGGGTGCAAAACACGGTGCTGCATTAAAACTGTGACAGCCACGAAGCCTCAGTCGTGCAAAAATGTACTTGTATGTGATGCCCTGTGACCAGCTCTAGGGCTGTTAGCAGGGATGGAGGCAGTGCTGGGGGCATGGGGAGACAATTCCTCATGCTGTTTGTTGCTGTTGGAGTTGCACTGATGTGCCTTGATAAAAGTGAAATGTTAAAAATATTTTTGTGAAACCCCTGAATACCAGACCAGAGGGGTGCCTGTGAGGCGCAGTCACAGACTCGAGTTAACGTCTTTTCTCCAGGCAGGAATTAGCCTGCTGGTCGTGGCAGTGGTTCTGTTCCAATTATTCCAACAAATGTGCTTAGCAATGGGAATGGTTTCTGTGGCACTGCGTAAGATCATGTGCAACCTCTTGCTGAGATTTAGTTAAGTGTGGAAAGCTTGTTTTGTACTGGGAATGCTCAGATGGAGTTTGTACAGGGGAAAATAAAGTAAAACCACATAATTGTGTTTCTAATGCAAGAGTGAGCTTGTTGAAATATTTAATATGACCAAACTTTTGTCAATACTAGAGCAAATTTTGAATCAAGTAACAAATTCAAAGAACGCATGGTAGAGATTGTGATTATCTATTAATGACCATTTCAAATGAACCTATTAATTTATGGTAAAGTTTCAGAAAGGGTCTGTTTCTTGACCAAACTCTGTTACATAAGATGGCTCGCTTGTCAGGCAACTCCTGCCCTTTCTGTGCTTGAGAGTTTCTGGAGAGCGAGAGAATATTTCCATCGTCATGAACATCAACTGATGCCTGGGGTCAGTTTTTTTGTTAAATTCTGTTGGTCCTCCTTTGAAGTTTACCACAGTATTTCAGAAGTGAAACCAAAGCTCCATACTCTCTCTGTGCATGACCCAGCATCCTTTGTTCTGCCATGACCCAAAAAGCATTACTCCATATACCAGTCGAGTGATTTGCTGGCATAATTTATGGCAGAGTTGTGTGTAAAGAGCAGCAAACACAACATCAGCACACTGGCTCGGTTCCTGTTAGTGTTGTTTAAATGTTTGGCAAGTAAAAGAGGATAGGAAACAGTAAAGGAAGGTTGAGTGTGTAGTTAAGGTAATGAAAACCAATTTGGACAACTAGGATTTAGTTTCTGGCTCTGTGACAGGCATCCCTCTAACTTTGGAGAAACTGCTCATTTGACTGTGGCAGGACCTTGCCCTTCCCTTGGCTGTCCCATCAGGGGGACATTCTGCAAGCTTCTGCTTTGATGCCCTCTGAAACACTGCCAACAGCATGGGCCAGGCGTGGCAGCATCTCCACTTGCTCTGTGTCAAAAGCCCCAACTCGAAGCGTGTAGTTTTCACACTGGAGGGAAAATATTAACGGGAGGATTATAGAAGCATCCAGTTGTTGTAAACAAAGCTGGACCGTTTTGTTCACAAAGGATTTATTGTCCACAGTGTCCAGATTAATCAGTTGCATGACAAGAGCAATTCAATGGGAGAACAGAGGACTGGCTCCAGGATTCAGATCTCCTCTGCTGTTCCCAGTGATGCCTGCGGAACTAAAAGGATGGAAGAGCTTATTTTCATTTCCTCAAGCGTCTTCATCATCCAAATTACTTTAAAAGTAAACAGATAAAATTTGAGCAACTCTATGACATTTAGACTGCAGGTCAGAAAAGTCATTTAGCTAATTTTTTGCCACATTTTCTCAAGGAAGGTGTGTGTTTTGCAGAAGGCAACTGGATTTTTCTGGCATTTGTACTGCCCTTAGGACAACTGCTTTGTGAGGTGCTATGAAACCATATCGATACTTTCAGGATCTCTTATCATCACATCCTAGCAGCTAGAGAGGAATGCATAGGATTTCAGCAACAGATAAACTATTTAATCCTCAGAATAAAAGGAAAATAACCTAATTCACAGGTAGCCTAATTCCTGAATGGTCCACAGTGTTCAAATATTTGAACAGAGATTGGGTCATTGGCTGTATAAAATTGAAGTCTTAACACCCTGAAATCAATAGGTACTTTGAATATTCTTTCTTTGAAATGTAGGGACTCCAGTTATCAGATTGTTGGTTTGTTTCTTGGCAAGTACTTAAGGTAAGACAGGGCATTCCTGGAGGACTGAGAGTGAGGACTGTGGGTGAAGATGAGCTGTTCCCACCCTCGCTGGGCTGCCCCAGCCATGAAGTGCTAGGCTGGAGCTAATGTAACATACCTGTCAACAGGGCTCATTAACTCGGGCTTGGCAGCCTCCTAGAAACAGGCACAAACAGTGTGGTTGGCTTAGGGAGCAGGCAGAGTGTGCTCACATCTGCCTGCAATATGCCACGTAGACGCTGCTTGAGTTTTGTGAATTTTTATGAGTTCTAGTTGTCCCATCGATGAGTTTTTCACCTTGGAGATGGAAACACTGTGCTTTTGGTAGACCTGGTTGTGGGTGAGCACTCCAGTCTTGACTGTCTTTCCCCTCCTCATCCCTCTCCAAAGAAATCTCTAATACTCCACAGAGCATGAATTTTAAGTACAATATCAGCCAGATCACGGCACAACTGAACACAGGACTTGTAACGGGAGCTCAGGATGAATCCTACCAATGGAGCTTGGCTAAAGGGACTTTGGGATGTGCAGAAGGAGTCTCTGCCTGCTCCATATGAGAGCTGTAGACTGGCCACTTGCTAAGAAATCTTTAATATTTATGTGCTACTAAAGCATGGGTTATTATCCAAAGAGGCTGAATGCAACAGGATGAAACCATTATGCTTCCCTGGAAGGGAGTGTGCTGGATGGCTTGGCTGTTGGCACGTGTGCACAGCCTGCATTTAGACATAATGTACTCTCTAAATGACTGTTTTTATTCCTCCTCCAAACAGAAACTGGGTGAAGGACTAGCAAAGCTGAGGACAGCGAGAGAGGCTCCCTCAGACTGCATGTGCCCCCCAGGTAGGTGCAAACATTCCAGCACAGCCCACGCCAGACTGCCTGGGAGCTGCCTGGGAGCCAGGCTCTGAGGCCACTGAAGAGGCTCTGAGGCCACTGAGCTCCACCTCTCCTATTTTATATGTTCCTTTTTATCAAGGAAAATGTGTTATGAAGTATTTTTTCTCAAGCTGAAGCACTCTGTTGTGCTTGAGACCGTTAACTTCTCCCACTGCCTTGCCTTGGCCTGTTTACAGATAAAGGAGCTTGAGGTTTGGACAAAAGCGACGTTTGGCTATAAGAATAAAAGAGAGAAGAGCTTGACTGGGTTGTGGGTCCTGGGTGTTGGGCCAAAACAATTTAGAAGTAGTAACACAATCACTGGGGCTTAATGGAAGTGTTATAATTAAAAGCTGCAGCCTCTCAGCCTTTTCAGAGGGCAGCAACTTCTTTTGCTGTAGGAAAGCTGTCACCGATTGTTTAAATTTCCTCGGAGAGTTTAATGAACTTCTAAAACCGTCAAAACTTCCTGTTCTGCGGAAAAACCTCTTCTTCTGTGGAAGTACATGCTCCTTGGAGACAAAAACCAGCTCAGATTAGTTTGTAAAGGAACCTCATTTATAGAAATGCTCTGTAAAGTGCTCTGCTGTCACACTGAACGGGGCAAATGACTTTGAGCTGAGGCACTTCAAGCCTTTTCTTTTTTCTTTTCACAGAAGTAGTAAAAGATGGGTGAAAGATGTGCAGTGCTTTGATGGGAGAGAATGCACAGGCGTGTTACAAGGACTTGCAAGCAGCAGATAGTTCCACTGTAGTTTTAAAGAAAACAAACAAACCATAAATGCTACATGGAGATGCAGGATAGGCAAACGAACAGGCTCAATTTTTCCTGCCCTCCTGGGTCTGACTCCTGCCAGAACATGCAGCGTTAGTCCATACTCACAGGAGGAAAAAAAAAAAGAACTTTTTTTTACCAAAAGATTATGTTTAATAACCTCGGAAATGGACTTTTTTTTCCCCATGAGATTATGTTTAATAACCTCAGAAACGTTTCACTAATGATGCTCTTAAACATACTTGCTGCTTTTCCAGTGGAAGGCTCCTGTGGGTTCCCTGTGTGCCTCACTGCCTGGTAACAAGCCCCATCAGCTGAGACACAAATCCTGCTTATTTTCAGCTCTCAAAACAAACTCAAAACAGTTTCCTCCCTTTTGATACACAGCAAATCCATCCACCTCACGGGGCTCTGGGGCTGCGTCTTTCCCCGGTCTGGGCAATCAGGGCACTACTGGTGTGCCTAAGTGGTCAAGAGGCTTTTCCTTTGCTCTGTGGAAAGCAATTGGGATTGAAGAGGCTCCTTTTGTCCAGGAAAGTCCCAATTCTGTTCTGGGTCACTGGGTTTGCTGGTTGCTGTGTTTGGGAGATGGGGGGAAGAGAGGAAGGGGGAAGGTTTTCCCACGTGCTGCTGTAATACTCGTTACACTCATTAGTAACGAACGTCAAAGTAATTTGTGAGCCCAGGGAAGGAGAAGTGATTTCCTGGTGGGTAGGAAACGTCCCATCCTGCAGGGAGCCGAGTGCTGTGCTACATGAGGATGTGCTGCTGGACTGTCCTGAAGCCTTTCAGCTATTTTTGAACAAATCAAAGAAATCTTTACATGTGTTTAATTTTTTTCCCTCTTTCTCCTGAAGAAGGCTGAATTGTCTCCTGGTTTGTACCTAAAGAGCTTGGTCTGGAAAACTCCCGAGAGCTTGAGGCCCTCGCTGGCATTCACTGCTGGGCTACCCCAGGATGCAAGCTTAACAGCTGAGCTTCAATTTACCTCTGTGCACTGAAAAAACAGCCCTTGGGGGAAAGAAAATTCCCCTGTGGAGGGGATGGGGAGGTGGTGCCAGCCCCACTCCTGCTTCCTGGGGGCAGCTGGAAGCTGGTGGGTGTCCTGAACATGTGAACTGAAGGGGGCTTTCCTCTGCCAGAAACCCTGCTAAGCTTAAGAATTCCTTCTTACCACTGGATTTACAGAGAGCTGGAGAGCCACTGGCAAGCTGTTGATGGGAGTTCTGTCTGCACTCTTGCTGGGGTGGTCCCTCCCTCCCTGCCTCTTTGGGAAAAGGGGGACTTGCAGCCCCACAGACCCACCCATGGGCAGAGGCAGGAGCAAACCACATGTTCAGAGCTGGCCCTGCCAGCTGGGCTCGTTTGAAATAAGACCTGTTTTTTCCTAGAAGTCAGTCAGTTTGGGGGGTCATTTGGATTTGAGGGGGTGGAGGTTGCTTTTGGGGCACTGCTTTGGTAGAATTGACTTATGGGACACGATGATTAGGATCCACCTAAGAGTTAAATAAGGGTCAAATTATTTTGACTACAGCATCCTAAATCACTGCTTGTAAAACACACAAATAAAACAAATACCCACCTCTCCCAAAAGAAAACCCCAACACAAACTGACCCATTTTGTCCTTTAAGTCACCTATTTGTCTGCAGAGCTCATTGGCTTCTAAATGGGGCTTTTCAGGGCTGTGGAGAGGGACCAGTGGCCAGTAGAAGCTGGTGGCCGGCAGAGGGGGCCCGGCTGTTTCACCAGGGCCACGGAGACATCCCAGTCATCAAGAAAAATCATAGAATCACAGAATGGTTTGGATTGGAAAAGGGACCTTTTAAAGTCATCTAGCCCAACTTCCCTGCAGTAGCCAGGGACACCTCCAACTAGATCCGGTTGCTCAGAGCCCTACCCAACCTGACCTTGAAAGTAATAATAATTTTTTTTAAAAAAATAATAATTAAAAAAAATTTTAACAGCTTAAAATAGTGCTATCTGTCTCTAATGCTGAGCACGCTGCAAAAAGCTGCCTCTGTCGTTGCTCCGAACATCTGTGTGCTGCTTTGAGTTGACTTGTTTTGCTTTATTCATTCAACCAAAAGGAGGGGGGGATGATGACAACAGCTTTGTGTCACTTTGGGTCCTCTGTGGTTTGGGCATTTTTGTGACTGAGGGAGAGAAGAGCATCCTTGGGGGGCTGGGGCAGCTGGACCAAGTGTGGGTCAGGCTCTGGAATGCTGTGATGGGCTGGTGACCCCACTCTGGGGACAAAAATGGCCTTTCAGTCCCCTGAGCTTTTTGGGACAGGGTAGCGGCAGTTCCATGCTGTGGGCACCGGGCAGAGCCAGGACAGGCTGTCCCCATACATTGTCTCACTGGGAAACAGCAGTGCAGTATTTGTATTATTGTCATTCCCTAAGCCAGGCCTGTAATACTTTGCAGAGGCCCCTCATCCCCTCATGTTCATCCTCTTTCTCTGATGGGATCCTCACGCAGCCTTTGCTGCAGGATGAGACCCAGCAGGTGCAGGAACACTTGTGTATATGGCATTTAGGACAGCCTTCAGCTGATAAGCACTTGGTTGAAGGCAAGACTAAAACTTCGTGCTTGTAAACGCTTTGTTTATCAGTTGTGTGAGCATTGGATGCCTTTTCATATATGGTTTTTTTAAGGATTCTTTTTTATTTTTTCCACCTTATATTTTCAATGCAGTCTTTTAAAACCTGAGGTGCAAAAGGCTCTTGTTAAATGCAGTATTTGCCATGCCAAAAGTCTCTAAGCTCTGTGAGAAGGTCCCACAAGAGCTCAAGGTGCTGGATGCACCCTGCTAGAGCCTGAGAACAAATGTTTCCTCTTCAATCCAGTAAAAATGAGCAAAAACCAGCCCCAGTCCACAGGGCACTCCTTGCCCAGCAGCTGGTCCTTGCTGTGTTGTGGACTGAGGGTGTGAAAAGCTCCAGCTCTGTTGGCTGCTCTCACACTGCGTATTTCAACCTACGCCTTGTGTTTCCACGTGCCTTTTTATTTAACAGCACCTCCTGAGCCTGAACTCCAAATTTCCTGGCTGCTGGATGGGGCACATCCCTGCCTTCATCTCGAGTTCACACTGGGACGGTGTCGTACGCTTTCGAACGTATGTGTATATTCTAAACCAGTGTTAAATGTCGAGTGTAGTAATCTGATGTTCCAGTTAATATGTGACAAATATTTCCCAATAATGGCTTGGCAGCAGGACGAGCGCAGTGGTGCTCCAGCCGGCAGGACGGCGGATTGCTCCACTTCTCAGCAATTCAAACCATGTGTACTTTGGGGGAGACGATCATTTAAAACCCTCCCTACCCCTGCAGACTCAGCAACTCCAGAGACTCTCTTGCTTGTATCATTTATATAATTTTATTAGTAGTAGTAGTATTATTTTAGTGTTTACCCTAACTTTATACCCAGAGATCAGCGTTCCCCAGCTTGCTCTGGAAGTCTGGCACAGTACTTTTTGTGGTTTCCAGTGACTTGAAATATCTGCCTAATTTTTACTGGTGTAAATGTTGCCCTTCAAGTGTCACTCGCTATCTGCCTTCTCCACGTTGTCTCCCCAGGTAATTAGCACAACAGAATTTCACTAATTGCTGGAGATCAAGGGGGAGAGGGCTCTGCTGGCTTTGTAGTCCTGACAAATGGCAGATGTTTTCCAGGAGGCCAAATGGGATGCGCAGAGCTCTGCTAATGCCGGCTCTTTGTTTCACACTCTAGCGTGATAGCAGCTCTGTTATTGCATCTCCAGGATCTGGGCCTGTAGTGCTGCATTTCTGAGTCATGAGTCCTTCAGGATAGTTCAGTAGATAATAAAAAATATCAAATAAAAGGAAATATTTCTTTTTTTAAATTAGTAGTGATCTCTGCTTTTCTGAGTTGCTTTGCACCTACTCAGCTTAAACCTCCGAAGTATTCCTTATAGACATTTAAGATACACTTTTCTGCTTACTGAAGCCATTAAAGTTCAGTATTTTTCTGTAATTTCTGTAATTAAAAGTCAGACAATGAACTTTATACCATCTTCAGGTATTAAAATGCCTCCTGAATCCCCCTTGCCTCAGTTTCCTGTACCCTTCCCATCACTTTGCTTCAACAGGGTTTACTTTCTCGATCTGCCTTTGCCTGCAGGAGGCTGGAACATCAGAATTACAGATTAGCATAAACAGGATTTTT